TTCTTTCTTTTTTTTCAAATAGTTTCTTGTTGGATGTTCTATACACTAGTTCTGTGGAGGGGGACATGCATGTATGTCTGCATGCTGTAGCTACTTAAGACTGACAAAAATTATTAATTGTGTTTTCTATGAATAATTTTGTTTACTTTGTAATATTTAGGAGATACTATATCTCATAAGATAAGAATAAAATTATATTAATTATATAAATAAAATATCCTCTAGTACTTGTGCAGATAGAAAGTTTTTTTTTACCTTAGCCATGACATATTAGCACAAGAAAATCAGACACTATCAGCAATTGCTGATAATTTGGGCCATGGAATATTTTCTGTTTGTGCATCAGTTTCAGAAATTCTCTCCCATGATATCTTTATTGTGCCTTCTCAAAACATAGGTTTTTCTCAAAATTGTGTAAGAGTGCTGAGTTAAGGGAGGATTCTAAGTTGCAAAGGTAGAGGGAGTCTTTTTAAACCTGTTAGCTTGGGACAGGCCATTGCCTGGGGTTTTTAGGAATTGAGGAAGATTGATTTACTATTCTCTTTAACAAGGTAGGTTTTATTATTGTCATAATAACATTTTATAATTGTGCAGTTAGTAGTTTGTAAATGCTTTTACATTTATTTCCTAACTTGAGCCCAACAACTTTGTGAGGTAGTTGGGACTGGTATTCTCATCTCTGCTTTCATTTGAGAAAACCTGTGCTTGGAAAGAGTAAGTGACTTGCTCCAGGTCACATAGCTGGTTAGTAGAAGAATAGAAACACAAACTCATAATTTCTGACTCCGTAGACAGTGTTTTGTCTTAGGTGACAAATCAGCTCTAATGGAAGTAGAAGGCATACTAATACTTGAGGGAGATGGTGTATTTTTTAGGTTTAATTTTGTGTTACTCATAATAGTTGAACATGAGGGTAGCCAGAAAACTTTCTAAATCTGTATGAAGCAGAATTCTTTCTGTTTTCTTTAGAAATCAGTTGGAATTATAAACCTCTCTGCATCATAATGACCCCACACAACAGAGAGTCTCAATGCATTAATCCTATGAGAAAGGCTCTTCGAGTGAAGGTTTTGATGCTTCTCTTGAAGCAGCATGAAGAGAATTTGTTTTTGGACCAAAATGCTGTTATTCTCTCTAGAATGAAATATTTCTTACTGAATTGTTCTGGGCTTAAGGATCTTTATTCTAAAAATTAAAATTTGGAATGGAAGGATGTTAAGGCAGATGTATAGAGGGCAGGTGTTGGAGAATAAAGCAAAAACAAGGCAAAAGGAGGAAACGTGTGAAAAGAATGAGTGGAGCAGGGAAGTAGTGGCATTAAAACAAAGTAATAATTAGGCTTTCTTTTCCTTATGATTGTAAGAATGTTTGAACTCCTATCGCCTGATTTAGAGGGATTATCTTATAACCCTAGGGCAAGTTACTTTAAAGTCCTTCTTTTAAGTAAAGGTTGTTATTAGAATCATATGAGATAATGTATATGAAAGCACTTCCTAAATTGTAGAAGTGCTCAAAATATGTTGGAATTATTAATAAAAGCAAATATGAATTGCTATGATTGATTGTCATGTATCTTAAAGGTCTTTCACTAAAGTCAAATCAATGGATTGGGGTAATATAAAAATTGACGATCTTGTCAACCTCACAGCTTTTCATAATGAGTTCAGCAAACCTTTACTGAGGTGCCTACAATGTGTCATGCCCTTCTGCGAAATGACAGGAGGTACTCAGATGGGTAAGTCACAGTTCCTGGTGTTAAGGTGCTGTGATTCCGTACTGAGAAGACAGGCACACAAATGGGTGGTTTCAGCTGTATGTAAGTGATCAGGTAGAATATTTGTGCAGGGTACAAAAGGAATATAGAGAAAGGACACTTATCCCAGGATGGGCTTTATGGACATCTGAAGATGAGCCCGAGCTTCATTTTGAAAGAAATGTGAGTGGTTAGGAGAAGAAAGGTGGGAAGTATACCTGACACCAGAGGAAACAATGTCGGTAAAGACTTGCAAGTATGAAGTGTGAAGCAAGGAGTGGTCAGGGTATTGAGTGGCAGGATTTGCTTATGGAAAATTTTGGTTTGGATGACTCAGTTGAGTGAATGTTACAGAGGATACTAGAAGAGGAGAGGACTTGGTGGGAGAACAATGAATTCTAATTAAGCAAACCAGAAGAGAAGAAAAGGGTATCAGAATTTTCACCACCGTTAAATGCAGCATCTAATAAAAATGGGCTGGAAAATGGCAATTGGAATAGCAGTATGAAGGCTGGTTTCAGTGGGATGTTGAGTGTTATAATTTTCTGCCTTTCGCTTTACCCTATCTCCGTATTTCCCTAGCTCCTTAAACCCAGCTCCACTGATACCTCCTCCCTGTCTCCTTCCCTTCGTATCTCTCCCCCCCGCCCCCCCACATCTCTCTCCACTGCTAACTTCCTTGTCTCCTTAGCAAACTCAGCCCTGCTAATGTGCCTGAGCTACCGCTGGTGGCCCCATCACAATTGCTCAGTGTACTCTGTGTATGTCAGCTACAGTGTAGACCTTAGTGAAGCTGCAGTTAGAAGCATGATTGTGTTAGAACCTGGAGAAACAGGGCCAGAGTGGGTTATAGGAGTGGACTAGTTCCATACTCTTACTGCATACTCTTATCAGCATGGGTGATGCCAGGCTATGAATGGAGTTCATGTCACAGTCAGCATGATGAATAAGCCAAGATCAAGAAATGACAGGACCAAATTATTTTCTGGATCTAGCGCCCTGATCATTCCTTGTTATGGGGTTTCTTTCGGTTTTCTGGGAGCTTGCCTTCCAGGTTTTGCTGCTTTGTTTTAGAAGTGCACATCAGCATCTGATACCAGCCTTGCTCCAAGTTTCCTTGCTGTCTAAGAGCTTATTTAGCTCGATTCCTGGGCATCTTGCTTGCTCCTAAATCATACTTCTCTCATTCTGTTTCGACTTCTAAGACTAGGCCTGTTCTTTAACCCCTTTCTTTAGGTGTAAATTCATTAACTCTCATATTCAGCTTCCCATGTGGAACTAGAGCCTTGCTCTGACCCCAGTGCAGTGGCTGGGATTCCTACAGCTGATTTCATATATAACCAGTCTTTTTTCAGACAAGGGCAGGGGGCTGGAATTCTGCTGTCCGTAGATCTCTTAAACAATGCTCACCTGCCCGCCCACCCACCACGTGGGTTTTATGCTCTTCCTACCTGTCGGGAGATACTGCCTCATCTCTGTGGAATCAGCCCCTGTATAGTACATGGCTTTTTAGTGTATTCATCTCTTCCTTGCATTTCCGTTATCGTTTCTTGTTATGATAGTCTCCAGGAGAAAATAAGCAAGTATATGGCAAAAGATGCGTCTTTTCTTACTTCTGTTTCCCCCTCTTTTGCTTTCAGTTCGTTTTCCATCTATTTTAAGAATTCTGAAAATCACCTGGGACTTTGGAGAATTTGAAATACAAGGTCAAGGTGGAGGAATGAATTATTGTATTTCGAAAGAAAGAAAGAAGTGATAATAGTCATTTTATTTCTTTTTCTTTTTTTATCGGGCAGTACCTCGTTCTATACCATAGAAGGAATGTTCCCCAATAATAGTCATTTAAAAAGCCAAATAATCTTTTCATTTAATCTCTTTTTTTCTAAAGACCTAACAGATTCATTCTAAGTATTTTAGTTGCATAATTGAAAACTGTGAAATTGTTCCTGAGAGTGATAGGTATTGTTATGGAGTCTCACAGAATCCTGCCAGCCACTCAGCTTGATTTTTCAGAACTACTCTATCATATGCAAGCTCTGAAGTTTTAAGAAGAAGTTTGCTATATTAGATCAAGGTGGTTTTGCAATGCATTTTTCTCTTTTCTTCAATGGACAAGATTAAAGCAATTCTAGGAAAAAAGGTGCTCTTGCCAGATGAGTTTTGCTTTCTCTTCTCAGAAAATTAGAACCATATAATCCATTAATTTTTCCTTCCTGCCTTAACTTCCAGATATGTGAACTGTATTTAATACTCAGTTGCAGGAATTCTCTCATTTTACATGCCTAATGACATCAGCTTCTCCAATTGTTCCCTTTTCATTGTCTGATTTTGTAGCTTTTAATTGTATTAGCTATGGGAAATCCTTTTTGAAAGCAGGTGGGATATAAATAAACATACATCTATATGAAATTAAGGTAGTTATGCTCACTATCTTAGGGATTCTGAAATGTTTCAGTTGTGTTTCTTTGGTATAGTGTGTGTGTGTGTGTGTGTGTGTGTGTGTGTGTGTGTAAAATCTCACAAATGGGGAGAAATCAGAATAATATAATGTTTTCAAGGAAAGAATATGTTACAGAACCTGGTGGAAAGGTTGTCTTAATCCCAAACAAACCTACCTAATGAAATATTTAGAAGCACTTAGTGCTTTTAAGCAAATGTCTTATTCTGTGTCTCAAGGGACAGTAATTAATCTGGGTGTAGAGTGTTCACTTGTTTTTCATTTTTATTTTCGACCCATGGAAACTGTGGGGATGGGTATATGGGCTGTTTTTATGGCAGCTAATCACTTCATAGACTTAGAATAAGTGGTTTCAGTGCATTACTCGAGGAACCAATTAAATACCCACAGTTTCTTATAAGGCCTATTGAAATTATATGTTGCTTGATTTGCAGTGATAAAAATAGGACTTTAAAAATAAATCTTAATAGCCTTCAAATTGATGAAATCTTTCAGAGAAGTAACCTGATGAGAGGGTTCATTGTTTTTTTAGCCATCTAATTGTAGGATGTATATTGGCACTCTTGTAATATAAGTAATAATTAGCATTTCACCCTTTATTGTCAGCACAAGGCTCTTTCACCTATTATAAATCTCTCAACTTGTTTATTTGGATAAGATTTTTAAAGTTAGTGCAAACTGCTTTATATATATATTGGAATCAAAATTAATCTAGAATAGTGAAATAATCTTACATCAGAACCTTAAAATCTAATGAAGTCTTGTATGTTCTATATGTTTTGGCTACAGCCCTACCACTTACGTTTTGGATGAAGATGAACCTCGATTCCTTGAAGAAGTTGATTATAGTGCAGAAAGTAATGATGAGTTAGATATTGAATTGGTTGAAAATGCAGGAGATTATGAACCTTCTGCTCAAGAAGAAGTACTTTCTGACTCTGAATTATCAAGAACATATCTACCTTGAGTCCTCTGCCATCTCTTGTTAACTGTAAAGAAGAAATGAAATATCTTGGTTTTTATTACACAGGAAATTTGAGAGAAATGAGTTTATAGAGAGCTGACTCAAAAGACAAAAAGTAACTCGGGCCTGTTTGGGTTTCAAGACAATAAATATGTTACTAATTCATGATAAAATTGGCACTTGTTTTATTTTAGATATTCAGTGCACTTTATATAGCATTGAATTATCAAATATTGGATTTACTTTTTAAAAAACCTAGAGTATCATTGCATGAATTTCTATCTCCTTATGGTTATACCCTACATCAAATGGATAATTTTGAAGTGTATCAGAATATAAGTCTAAATTCTAGAGTTGTTGAAAATCCTACATTGTGGAAAACTAATATATATGTACACGGATTTCTATACATGTGTTTGTGTAGGGGTGGGGTAGATATTGAAGATAAGACTGTTCTTCCGAATCATGTTAACTGTTGGGTTGTGGCTGAAATAATCCAGAGTTTGCCTTGAAACTATTACATTCTACATTTACCAAATTAAACAAATAAAAACTATATTAAATGTTGCATTCATTTCGTCATCCTTTTTAACCAGCTCAGATTATTTGGTGTATAGAACTCTGTGAGAATATTATAAAAATCCAACATTTGAACACAATGATAAAAAGTTGTACGAAGAAAAGTCTAACTTTTATGTCTTAAGTTTTAGGTATAATTGTACCTACCATAAGAGATATATTTGAACAATTTTCTCTAAAATTGTGTCTCATGGATGCACCTAAAGTTTACCACTGCAGTCAAACAGTTTGTTAAGAAGCTTAAAAAATGCAGTGAGGCTACGATCTGATGTTAAATGTGCATGTGTGTATTGAGCTTATTTAGCATCTTGTAAGCCGTGCTTTGTTATTAAACTTACTGAAGTGAATTTATTTAGGGCATGCTGACACTGCTATCAGAGTCCTAGGTGACTGCAGTGAATTTAAACCATTTCTCATGGTGACATCCCCCAGAGTTTTAGCCGTCCTGCTGCGGGAATGACTTTGCCTTTAAATAAAATAAATTTGGTTGACTCTGGATAAATGCTTCAAGAACTAAGTTTCTGTTGCAATAAAACAAACCCCAAAAGATACCTCATTAACAGATTCTTGCCAGGATTCAGGTGCTTAGGTTTTGGCTCATATCTTCCTTATTTATTCCTAGATCAGAATGTTTTTTAAACCTATTATAATGGAAAATAAATTATAAAGGTGTATTTCAGATTTTTGCATTTTCCAAATTGGTGATTTTTTTTTGTACTATTTAAGATATTTCATCCGTAGTGTAGATTCTTTTTGGTGTCGTGGGAGCCAGCCATCTTTAAAAATTCTGTGGAGCAATTGAAGAGATCTTTTTCTCTAACCAGCCTAATTCTTACTAATCTCAGAAAATGAAGAGTAAATGGACTGGAAAGTTGAACCAGTCCTCTTACTATAGTAACTGAATTTAGGAAAGATCAGGATAATTTAGCAAGGTAAAGTATTATTTAATCATTTATTTAATAATTTATTAATTATGATTATATTTTATGATTTATATATTTTATATATAAAAATTACACATTTTGTTATGATTATACTTTTTTCAGAGAGTAGATTATGGAGCCACTTTGTCCGTACAGTTGTCCCTCAGTATCCGTGGGGGATTGGTTCCAGGACTCCCCAGGGACACCAAAATCTGTGGATGCTCAAGTCCCTCATATAAATGGCGTAGTATTTGCATATAACCTATGCACATCCTCCCATATACTTTAAAACATCTCTAGATTACTTGTAACACCTAATACAATGTAAAAGCTTTGCAAATATTTGTTTTACTATATTTTTTAATCTGTGTTTTTTTTAATGTATCTTCTTATTTTCAAATATTTTTGATTGGAGGTTGGTTGCATCTGCAGATGTGGAACCTATGGATATGGAGGACCAACTGTATATGAATTTTTCTTGGCTTTTACAAAATTAGAAATTAAAAGCCAAAAAAGTCATGTACGAAAAGCAACTACAGCTACTATAATGTGCAGAGTGACTCAAAAATTCCAGTTTATTATGTTAACTATGTAAAAACCCCTAGCCATGTACTATTATAATATTTTATGTTGATGAAGTACTTCTTTTAGCATATATTACAAACGTAAATAAAGCCATTTACTAAATATTCACAAGATTGAAGAGAAAGTCTTTATAGTTAGGAAATGATTTTATTCATAAACAATAAATAGCTTTGGAAAAATAAATAATTTAAAATCCTAGCTTTTCTAAGTAGGGGTATAGCTAGGTTTCATTGGCTGTTTAGTAGCTAAAATTGTCTAATTTTAGTAGCTAATTTTTACCTCTGTGGCCTCATGTTTTTCAGGACATTCAAAGAATGGTTGAGATGCCTTCAGTATCATAGTCCTGTAAATTAACGTTCTACTCTGTGCTGCAGTGATGATGAAGTCTGATAAACTGAGTCTAATGATGGAGTTTAGATTTATTTTATTTACCTTGCATTTGGAGCTTGGAATTTCTTAAATGTAGTTTTGTTCTAATCCAGTGGTTCTCAGGCTGTAATGAGTGTGCATGATGCATCAGAGTCACCTTGAGATCTTCTCAAAACACAGACTGCTGTTAGGGAGATCTGAGGCACAGCCCAAGGATCTGCATTCCTCCTAAATTCCCAGGTGGTGACGCTGCAGGCCCACACTTGGAGAATCACTAATATCATCTGATGCACTCTTTCAGCATCACAGTTTCCTGAGAATCATAGGACCTATGAATTGGAAATTAGCATTGGGGAGAATTTAGATCAAACGAATTTGTAGAATCAAGGAAATAGACGTACAGACGTCAAGTAAGGTCACAGGGTCGCTTGGGCTGAGCCAGGGTCTCCTGACGACCATCCTCATGTTCTTACCACAAAAAGAGATGCTATCCTTTGCCTTTCCCTAGAGAGTGAGCACGGTGAAAAGCTTAAGGGTCTTTCTTGAATTTGTGAAATTTGTTCAGGCAAAGTAGAAGGCAAAAACCTATGGTTCACATTGACTTTTCATTGTGGTCACAGTCTTGTCTGAATACAGGAAGTATAATCAGTCTCTGCCGCTTTTGCTCGTTTTTGTGTGGTAATTAGAAACATGGATATTTGTCTGAATTGTAATTACAAATAAGTAACCTGGAGTTCTGTTTCAGAGAGTGCAGTAACAGCAATGAATATGCTTTCTAAATTCAAATAATCCAAATGAAAATGACTGTATCAGTATAAGCAGTGAAATGGATATTACAATAAGTGTACTAATGGAATTGTTTTTGTGCATGATGCAGAAATAAAGGACAGTAATCAAACTATAAATGGATCCTTATAAATCCTCTTGTTTTCCTATACATACTTTAATCATTACAAAATATTAATTGGAAATTGGTGAATTTTTCTCATTTGATGAAGGAGCTATATGTAAACTCTAGTTCTTTCCATTGGGAAAAGCCTGTTGAACTTTATAAAATAGATGTTACTATTAATATTAAGTAAATATTTCTCTGATTAAAGTATATTCAGATATCTGTGACATAAAAGGAAACCTAGAAGAAAGTTTAATTTTCTTTATGAAAATGAATATTTTAAAGGTTTACTCCTTGTAATGTCACATGTCAGTTGTTTTCCGCTGTTAAAAATATTTACAAAGCACTTTTACTTAACCTGTTTTGGGCTGATACTGGGCAACAGGAAGTTTACCTTAATGCCCTCCTCTTTCTAGACCACGAACAGTAACTTAGGCCGATGGCCACTCCTTCCACTCTGCCTCACAAGCCTTGTTTACACTGCACAGTCTTTGACCTCCTGGTACCCTGCATCAGATCCTATAATTTCTTCAGAGCTTGCCTGATTATTAGGGGCATTGAATAATAAAACTTTTTTTTCAATTTGACTTTGCTAACTATGCAGTACCTAAATGCAAGTGAGTGGCCCTCGCATGCAGAATTTCAGACGTCAGAGGGGCTAATCAGTGCTATTTTGGCATCTAGGATGTGGTGGACGCTGTTGAGCCCTATGGTAATCTTTGTGTATGTGCATTTGCACACATGCGTGCAAGCCTTTGTGAAGCGGAGAAGGATTTGCGGTACCCTTCTATTTGTAAACCCAGATAACGGTAAAGGGCTGAAGAGACTTGGCTCTAAATATTTAGAAAGGTTTACCTTTATGATACTGAACGTAGGACTGTCCCTCCCAAAGACGTCACTGGTGGCGTGCCACGTGAACATGGGGGAGCGACAGCAAAAACCTGGTCAGCATGATTACAATGGATGATCTTGCAAACATTCGTAACGCACTTTCAAACCACATACAGGTCTTTGGTAAGTGGCAAATGTGAAGACATTGTAAAAGGCAAAGATGCTTGTTATTGAAAATTAAAATAGAAAAGACTAGTGTTTAATAAAGTCTGCACCTTTGAAAACAGATTGGCTTCTCTAGATTTCTCTCTAGCTGAAGGTGTAAGTTAGGAGTTTTAAGACTGGAAACATTTTCATGTTCAGTGTTAAATATTTACTAAATCGAATTATGTGCTCTATTTACAGTGTCATGACTTTATACACAATTGGGGTTTTTCCTGCCATTTTACTCATTAATTCTTAGAAATGTTTGACATTTCGTCTATTTTCTTTTTCTTTCAGAAAGTGTGCCCTCGAAATAGAGTGAATAAGTTGTATAATTTCATATAAAAAGACAAATTTCAAAATATGAAAATATCCCTTTTACAAGATTATAATTGTGTTTAATATATAGAGAGGCGTGTCCAGCACACACCCACCTTTGCCAGCCTTTATTTCTCCCTCCTAAAGAGCTATACAAAATGAAAAAAATATCAAAAACTGTTCTATCACATGTGCTAAAATTCAGATCTTTTACCTGATGGAGTAGACACATGTGGTTGTCTCCTGTATGTCCACTCCCCCCTTTGCTTAACTAGTATTCCAGATCTCTGCATCCTGAGGTCACCAACTTCCCCACACCTTCAGGGGAGGAAGAGGGTGGAGCACATGAGCTGAGCTGAGCCAGCTGGCACATTCCATCTGCGGACCAGGGGGATTGGGCAGATGCAGGCACACGATCTAAGCCAATCCAAACAGAATGAACATCAGGACTTTTGATGGCAGTGTTAGAACAAGCTTTTCCCTTGGTAAGGAAGGATACAGCCACTGGCAGCCACCATGCGACCCTGAGAGCGGAGCATTCCTGCATGAGCCAACACTGAAGGAACAGAGCCAAGGTATTGAGAGAAACTGGGTCTTTTCATCATCTCAGCCCAGCCCCCTATCAAGCTGTACATGAAACCTCAAATAGTGTCATTTATATGGACCTATTAAGTCACCTTCCTTGTTTAAGCTATTTGAATTGAAATTTTTTATTACCAGTCAAAGTATTGTCTGTTACACAGGTATGTCTGACACCTATCTGAAAAGCCAGCAACCCACAGTGTCTGTTCCAGAAGGGATGACTCCACCCAGAGCACATGCCCTAAGAGAAGTTAATAGAAAGAGATGAGTTCTTTTACCCAAAG